AAGCAGTTACTTTGTGAGGAAGAGACAGTGCTGCTTCCACTGCTGAACCTCTCTGTACCTCAGTTTTCTCAGCTGTAAAATGGGACTAAGAGAGGACCAGACACGAGAACCTGTAAAGACCTTGGTACGTGGGAGCTGCTGCTGTGCCATATACAAGGATGGCTGGGTGGCAGCCCAGCCCTCTCTCCAAACAGAGCCATCACTTTCCCAGGTAACATGCATCTTGGTGCAGGTGCTCAGAAACCCACAGGCCCAAGCACACCCTGGCCATGCTCAGAGGCAAGGACAGGCCTGCCCTGAGAACCAGCGGGGGTAGGAGGGCAGTGCAGGGACAAGCTCACTGCAGGGTTTTTGGTTGGTACAGTGGGAGCGCTTGCTCTCTGCCCTGCAGGGCTGGCACCAATCGCTCTGGCTCCTTGGCTCCTTTGTCAGTGTGAAGACACAGGAGCCCAGAGGAGGTGCCCTGGGCTGAACTGTGTTCCTCCAAGACTCATCTAAGTCCCAACCCCTGGCACCCTAGAGTATGACTGGACTTGGAGGCGGGGGCCTTTAAAGAGGTAATGAAGGGGAACTGAGGTCTGTATGGGGGGCTCTGATCCGAAAGGACTGGTGTCCCCACAGGAAGAGCTTAGGACAGAGACACGCACAGAGGGGACACCACCCGAGGACACAGAGAGGGGACAGCCATCCGCGAGCCAAGGAGAGAGGCCTCAGGAGGAACCAGCCCTGCCAACCAACACCTTGATCTCAGGTTTCCAGCCCCCAGAACCTCCAGACAACACATTTCTGTGGTGCTTCCCCATGGCAGCCCTGTGGGCTGACACTGGGGGCTCAGCGAAGCCCAGAGCCTGAAGCAGTTCCCAGAAAACCGGTGAGAATTCGAAACTTCAGTACACACCCTATAAAATACAGCCACTATTTTAGAATAACTATAAGCTGAGTATAACCTTTAAAAATTGTAAATCACTGTTACACACTTGAAATGTATGTAATATTGTACGTCAACTATACTTGAATAAGAAATTTTTTTGTTTTGGTTTTTTTGGGGAGAGGTAATTAGGTTTATTTATTATTTTTTAAAGCTTAACTGGAGGTACTGGGGATGGAACCCAGGACCTCATGCATGCTAAGCACGCACTCTACCACTGAGCTATACCCCCCACCACATTTTTTAATAATAAATTAAATTAAACAAACAACACCAAAACCTAATGGGACTCAGATCAGGCCCCTGGGATCCGAGGGCAGGGGAATGAGGGCCCCCCACCACCACCACAAGGGTGCACCCAGCAAATGCAAACGCGGACACTGCTGCAGGGCTAGCTACCGGGCTTCTCCACCAAACCGGTATTGAAGCAAAAAACAGCAGGGGAGGGAGGCGGATGGTTAAAACAAAAAGGCACTGAAATCGTGTTTGACACCACATGCCTCGATCACAGGATGCAAATGGCCCTGGGCCTCTGTGCTCTCCCTCCCAAAACCCACAGCGTCAGTCTAACCATGAGAAAAACATCAAATTCCAACTGCGGACTATCTTATGACATCCCTGATCAGGGGTCCTGACAAGTGTCCAGGTCACCAAAACCAAGGACGGTCTGAGAAAACTGTCACTGCCGAGAGGGGCCTAAAGAGACACGAGGACTGAATGTGACGTGGTGTCCTGGACGCGGCCCTGGGACAGAAAAAGGACACTAGGTAAAAACCAAGGACACCTACACAGAGGATGGACATTAGCTAATAACGACCTGTCAACAGTGGTCCGTGAACGTAACAAATGGAAGACATTCACAATAGGGGAAAGAGAAAGAAAAACACCAGATGACGTCACCTACTTGTGGAATCTGAAAAACAAACAAACAAACAAAAAACACCACAAATGAACTTATTTACAAAACAGAAACAGATCCACAGACATAGAAAAACTTAAGGTTACCAGCAGAGGAAGGGGGTGGGAAGGGATAAATTGGGAGTTCGAGATTTGCAGGTACTAATTACTGTATATAAAATAGATAAACAACAAGGTCCTGCTGCAGAGCACAGAGAACTCTATTCACTATCTTGTAGTGACCTATAATGAAAAAGATATGAAAATGAAAAAAATGAGTAAGACATTCAATCTGAGGAAACAGTAATACTAATAAGGGAAACAGGGAATGGGGCGTATGGGAACTCTTCTCAGTTTTTTTTTGTAAATCTCAAACTGCTAAAAAAGGAAAGATATTGAAAAAGAGAGACTTAAAAGACACATCGGTTAAATGCAAGTGGAGAGTTTGCTTGGATCCCAATTCAAACAAAGCAATTGCGTCAGTCAGGGAAATTGGAAAATGGATTTGCGCTGGTTATTAAGGCATTGTCGTGAGCTGGGACGATGGTATTGTGGTTATGATCCTTGCAAAATGCTCACCTGTTAAAGACACAGACTGAAGTATTCAAAAGGCAACTAATATGTCTTGGATTAGCTTTAAACTGCAGTTCTAGGCTTAAAGGTTTTCTTTTGGGTTGTGGGGAGAGATGTAACAAGAATGGTGGAAAGTCGATCAACAGAAGCAGTGGGTGGTGGGTAGGGGGATTCATTATATGATTCTTTCTCCCTTTGTGTCTGTTGGACAATTTTCAGGAGGAAAAGTTAAAACGAGGAAGATTCAGGTGAACCACCCCAGGAGGCCTGTGGCCAGGGCCTGGGAGAAGCCCCGATTCCTGCAGCTCAGGGCTTCATCGTCCCTCCTCCTACAGCTGTGAGGCCTGGACACACACATCTGGAGGGCGTCCTGTGTCCTAATTTCTCCTCACCCCCGTCACCTTCAGGCACAGGCAGCCTGGCTCCCAGGAAATCAGGCCATAACAGCAAACATGCCTTGATGAACAAGACAAAGAGAGGCCAGCGTTCCTGCAGACTTTCAGACGTCGCACAAGTATCTGAGGAACGCAATGGAAGACAAAGGTTACGTGAACTGAGAAGTGCTGGAACATGCACGCAGATCACGAATGAATTACAGAGGGGAAAGGGCACGTCCAGGACGGAAGGTCCACCAGCCACAGTCGGAGCTCAGAGTAATGGGACAAGCAGACACCACGTGCCCTGAGGTGCTGCCCCGGCCAGGACATAAGACCCTCATGTAGAGGTCTCGCTGGACCGTGTGCCCTCAGTCTGACCCCAAGGAAACAACCAGACAAGCCCCGCTGTGGGACAATTTAAA